AACTTTTATTTCCGCTAAAAATTTTCGGTTTTTGGGTATAACAACCATTCACCCCCCTCCTCTGGTTGGCTTAGTTCTTATGATTCAATCCTACACTAAAAACTACATGTGCAAAAATCTTTACCTCGGAAAAAACATGTGATAAAATCTTGAAACCTAGCAAATTTCTGTACTGTGCAAAAGAAACGACACAAAAATTATTCGTTTAGAAACTTGTAGTGGGCCCAAACTAGATATCATCCTCTCTGTGTACATAGAGTATGCGGGGGTACTTTCTTAAAAAAAAAAAAGAGGACACAAGCTTTGTCTCGTGTATATTGATAGAGAAGAGATAACAAGAGGGAAAAAAGAACTTTACAGGGTCTTTAAAAGGCAAAGGCCCGCAAAATGATCTCCCCAACTAAATATCTTTCAACGTAGGAATCTCTGTGAGGAATCGTGCCCCAGCTGCTACCCAAGTGAGCGCTTCTTCCTTTATTTTAGATAGGATGGCCATCGGCGGTTTCTCCGTGTGTCGGAAAACCCTCGCGTTGTGGGTACTTTTATTAAACAAAAATATGTAGTGGCATAGCATAGAAACAGTAAACGAAGTTAGCATAGATAACAAACAAATACAAACTCAATAGTAAATCAATAGCATGTAATTGTTTTATTCTTTATAGTTTTATGATAAATTTAATGCTAAGTATGTAATTATACGGTACTATCTCTTAATTAAATTTGCTGTAGGATCGAACAACAAGAACTAAACCAACCAGAGAGGGATGAATGGTTGTAGGAACCAAAAATCAAAAGTTTTAGCGGAAATAAAAGTTATCCTCGAATCGACGAATTGCGGTCTAATCGGAGTAGATTAGCCGGTCTGACCGAGCCAAAGACGCCGGACTGACCGGTGTTGATCTTCCGGTCTAACCGCCGAAACCTGTCGCCGTCACCAGTTGTCGCTGCCGGTCTGACCGTCGTTACCTCGCCGGTCTGACTGCCGGAATGTCGTTGGTCTAACCGCCGGTATCCCGCCGGTTGGACCAACGAACCGAGCAAACACAAATTGAAGATCTATCAAAGTACGTACATGACAATTTTATTACTTCTCTAGTGTTTACAAAGTGCAACAACAGCACTCCTCATGAAAATCTCGACAAAACTCGAAACCCTAACTATTCTCTCAACTCAATGCTCTCTAAAGCGATACCGGGAGGCCACACCCTTCCTCTCTATTTATATATGAGGTAGGCAGCCTAAAACCACGAATCAAACTCATAAAAGAAGTTCTGATCCACCTAGGAAACCTTCCCATACAAGAAACCTACTTTACAAACTCCAATCATATCAAATTTGGACTCCTTCCAAATTCAACTCCGCATCCCATACACTCACAATATCTCCATCGTATGCCATATGGAATCTTCACCAACCACGTGCATTGATCTTTAGCCTAAGTATCCCGCATGATATCTGACCGTCCGGACGTCACCTTATCTCCAAGTTGACTCCCGATCCATCACCGGTAATACTTTCCCAAGACATCAAGACACCTACACATGAATCAAACAAAGAAACCATATTCCGTGACCAAGCTATCTTCAACTTGACCCATTGTTAGCAAACAACAGTATTACATACGCATAGTATCCATATAGAAGTGCACATGTCCATCACCTGAAAATCCAATCATCTCCAAAACCACTTCACAAATAATCTGTAAATATCAAAACCAACAATCTCAGATGCCAATTATTCATCATAAAATAAGAATCAAATACACTTTGATTTTGCATTTGCTTCGTGGTTTGCCTTATGGCATAGACCAGCTGACAGTTGTGGTGTAAAACCATTTCCATTATAAACAAAAGTCTTGAATTTACAGTTTTTATTGAACTGTCCCATATTGTAGCTCAAATATGTATATATTTTTTTGAGAATTACACAGTACAACGCACGCACACTCACCTCTTAAATGCACACACGCAAACCCTACCTTATAAGCATGTTTGAATACTGGGCCGACAAATACTGGAGATTGACGAAGTCACCACAGGCGTCTCGCTGTCGACGGGTACGTCGCCTACCACTGAAAACACAAAGCCGTTAAATCCTGAAAAAATCGCTTCTATGGAGATTTAAACCCATGACCTATTTTTCAAAATATCATTAGTTTTACTGGTTCAAAATCCCTAATGTGTTCTCCTTATTTTAGTTTCGTTAATTATTTTGTTCATTGGGTGTTTTCAATGATTTATTGAACTACACTCTTATTTGAGTGCTACTATATAATAATTAGCTGTATCTCTCTTGAGTAAAGGCCGGGATGTTATATTCCATTATTAAAAAAAAAGTTAGGCTAGACAACTGACGCATTTGTCAGGACGGCAGGGCCTCACCATCGGAAATTCGTGTATCCAAACAGGGGGTGAAAAATGAACTGCTATTACTTTTGCTCGTGCAGAAAAATTCGTTCCCCTTGCTTACACGTCTCTCTCCCGTTCTCCTCTTCCCCATCGTCGCTTCATGGCGGTCGCAGAAAAATCCCACGCATTGCTTGATCAGCAGTGTGGTCGCCCTGGCCCGATTAGTTCACCTCTTCGGCCCAACAAAATGAGCACCGTAGTGGTCCAACTAGCTGCTAGCAGCACAACAGCCCGGCCTACCGAGCGTTGCCCATGCACGACAGGGCGGCAGGCTGGGAAAAGTTCACTTTGTGACTCTTAAAAGTGATCGAAATCTAATCCGTTACCCTAAACCAAAAAACCGGATAACTTGACCCCCCAACTCTTAAAACCAGTGCAATTTGACCCCCTCAACGGTTTTGGAGGACGATTTCACTGACGTGGCGCCTACGTGGCATCCCAATCATCAAATAAATTAAAAAAATAAAGTGGGGCCACCTGTCGGCGACTCCACTCTCTTCTATCTTCCTTAGTTTGCAGCGGCGGTGGGAGGACGAGCGGAGCGGCGGCGGCTAGCGGCATCGGGGCGCAGCGGAACTGGGGGCGGCGGTCGGTGGCTAGGATGGCGGCGGCTCGGCCGCGGAGGCTCGCGGTAGTGGGACGAGGGGAAAGACGGCGGACCTCTGGCTGCCGCTCCGTCCACGCGCGCCGTTCAGCACTGACGAGGAGGACGGCGAGGAGGCTGAGGCGAGGAGGGCGAGGCTCCTCGTCCCCGCTCAGCCACGATTCTGCTTGGGTAGTCCTGGCTGGAGGCAGTCGGCGATGGGGAGGGAGTGGGAATGGGAGCGGGACGGCGGCGACGACAGAAGATGATGCCGCCGCCGCTGTCCAACTTTGACGCGAGGAACGGCGTGCCTACGCCGGGACAGGCGGAGCAGGAGACGATGGAGCTGGTGCGCATGCTCACCGCGTGTGCCGACTCAGTCTCCGCCGGCAACCATGAGGCCGCCATCTACTACCTGGCCCGGCTCTGCGAGATGGCTTCGCTGGCAGGGCCCATGCCGATACACCGCGTGGCTGCCTACTTCATTGAGGTGCTCACGCTGCGCGTCGTGCGCATGTGGCCACACATGTTCAACATCAGCCCACCGCGGGAGCTCACTAACGACGCCTTCAGCGGCGACGACGACGCCATGGCGCTGCGGATACTCAACACCATCACGCCCATCCTCCTCCTCGGCAAGCACAGCTAGCGCACAGCATGGGCGCCGCCATCCTCCTCCTCGACGAGCACGAGGACGGCGACTTGAACTTCGGGCGGTGGGAGGCGCGGTTCGTGCGCGCTATGGTACTACGCCGCGGCGTTCGACGTGGAGGACGCGGCGGGGCTGCCGAGATGGGAGCTTGCCACCAGCCGTCGCCGCCGCCTTCGTCGTTGCCGTCGCCACCGCTCCACTCGTCCTCCGACTACCGTGCCGCCACCTCCGTTCCCCTCGTCCTCCCACAGCTGCAAGCCGCCACCGCTGTTCCCTTCGTCTTCCCACTGCCGTGAGCCGCAAGCCGTTGTTCCCCTCATCCTCCCACAGCCGCGAGCCGTCGCCGCCGCCGCCATTCCCTTTGTCTATGAGCCTTCGGCGGCCGAGCCGTCGCCCCCCGGTTCCGCTGCGCCCCGATGCCGCCGACCGCCGCTGCCAACGAAAGAAGATAGAATATAGGAGGGGATTAGCTAACAAGTGGGCCTACTTTATTTTTTAAATTTATTTGATGACTGGGATGCCACGTAAGCGCCACGTCAGCGAAACCGCCTTCCAAAACCGTCGAGGGAGTCAATTTGCACTGGTTTTAAGAATTATGAGGTCAAGATATCCGGTTTTATGGTTTAGGGTCAAGGATTAGATTTCGATCAGTCACAAAATGAATTTATTCCGGCAGACTGACAGAAGCAAAAATAGGAATAAGTCCATTTTAGGTCCCTCAATTATAGGCTAAGTTTAATACCCAATCCTCAATTACATGGCGTTCCAGTCAATTTGTTCTTTAAAAAAAACTAGACATAGGTGGATCCCACGTGTAACTCTCACGTAGAAAAATCAAAAAAAATTGTTCTTTGTGAGAGTTGCATGTGGGACCCACATATTTATTTTTCTTTTTCAAAAGAAACAACTAGAGCGCCACATAAAGCCAAGTCAACACAAAAGACTAGGTCAAAGTGGTATGTAGGATAAAACCACCATCAAAACCATAGGAGGCAAATTGATCCGGTTTGAACAATTGAGGGAATCTATATACCCAGTCTTGCAGTTAAAGGATACAAATCAAACGCAGCCTGTAGTTGAGAGAGGTAAAATGGACTTATTCCGCAAAGATATCAAACTGCTACCGGTGATGAGTACAACCTCTAAGGAAACTGATATATGCCACCAATAATGTAAGGTATGTGAGCCATTATTGTAGTAGTAGAAAAAGCAAAATCCATCGAGACATGTATAATTACATGGACTTTAAGAACTTATTGTGATAACCTTAATTAATTTGAATATATTGATTATACCTTTTATTCCACTAGTAATCATGCGTGTGCAATGCACGTTTGATATAATATATCACACACAATGACACAATATGCATCTATGTGTTTTAATAACTGACAAAACTAAGAATTTGTTGGTTTTACACAATTACAATAGAACTGGAGTACATAATTTTGCAAAATATTACAGCATTTGTGATTTGCAGGGATTGGAGCTCTGGCCAAAACCCACTGCAGTCCATAGCTTTGCTAATAAAAGATCCAAAATTTTCGAGAAATGAGTTCACGATAGAGTTAGTTCATGAACAAAATCACTAAACTGAATATATTTTAACGAAACTTTTGAGCATACTTTACCTCAATGGAGAATAAAACTCTCAACATAGTCGTACAAGGATATGGTGTATAGGCTGAGCACTCGCATATTGTAGCTACAAAGTGCTTCACCTTGGGGAAGAGGCCTGCCCTTTTGGTCCAAAAGATCTACAGGCTGCCAAGCTGAAAATATAAAATATCAATTATTGAATCAATTCATCATGTAACTCGTGACAAAATTGATGAAGATGTACCAGATTAACATGGAGAATGGGCACATCACAAGGTAATCTGCATGTCTATTTCAACTGATATGCTCTGTAGGGTCTCTTACAATGCCTCCATATATTTACCAAGATATAATCTATAATCCTCAATTAGTTCATTTTTAGAATTTTGATTAATCGTATTAGCATTATTTTCATTTATCTTTTGAATTCAAATTTTGATTATTCATTTAATTCTACTCTGATCCCATGCTCGAACTCAATTAGACACATTTTTCCAAACACAAAAGAGATATAATTAAATTTGGTTGGAGTCAAATAATAACAAAAGATTCGAGTAGACTACCTGATTGAGTGAAAGCAACTGAGGTGGATTTTTGTATTCCCCTATATTAACATGCATGGCATTGACTTTTTTTCATCCACTGATGAACAGAACAAAAAACTGCTCAAATGAATATGTATGGCAGAAAAATTGACCCTGATTAATCATAGTAGCATGTAGCAAGGCAAGAATTTCGGATGCTCTGATGCCACAGAGACGTAGTTCAGCAATTCAGGATAACAGTGATGTGCAGCAGTGAATTAGTTTTAAAAAACATCACTGCAGGCTATAAACTCAAGAACTCAGCCTCATCTGGCACACCATGATAATCGCACTAATTAAGCCTAGCATTGCTTCTGGACATCCTGCACATGGATTAACGATTGACTCTACTTAAAATCAGCAATATATTGAGTAGAAAATAAGAAGAAAAACAATGCAACATAGTGGTGACCTTGGCTGGTTTCACATTTGGACGTCAGAACACCATCACCATCCATGTTTGCTCACCCATTTGCACCAAAAACAGAAAATACCAAGTATACATCCATTAGAAAAATACAAAGACCATGAATTACTTCAGGAGTGCATACTGGAAATAATCAAGCAAAATATTTTATATTTTATTCGAGAAATACGCAAATGATATTCTAATGAAGCAAGCTCACCTTCTAACTTCCATATCTTCTTCGCCCCTCTTCTTTAAAGTGGCCCCAAATTGGTAATATTGGAGCCATTTGCTATTTTGACAATTCAATAAAATTTATTTGCAATTCCTGCATTTTCAGCTATGCAGTCACATTGCAATATTAATAGGAATGTGTGCACAAAGCTTGAGAAGTATAATATTATTTGGTATGGAAACTTAATATTTGTTAATAATCTTAAATTGTTTCAGTGCTACATAAAAATGTCATACACTCTTGCAAAATGGGACCATATCTCTGTTATGTTAATGGATGAGAACCACTTCAATAGTAGAATATGTACATAATTTTAGATAGAAGCAGAAAGAAAATTGCAAATATTAAAGGTGTTGCACTTGTCAAATAGCGTCATGATATCAAGCACCTTGTTTTCATCATCTCCATTGAACCTCCTACAAGAATTCCATGAGACAAGAACCTGATTAATCATATCTTTTTATTGGTCCCGTATATAAGTATGTCATGAAGATTGTAAAGGGTTCAAGCTAGCAATCAACAATGATGTCTCTAATAAAACGACAATCAACAGCTAAACACCAATAGAAACTTCAAAAAGTTCTGCACTGTTTAGAATGGATTAGAAAAAACTTCAGTTTTTCAATTAAGGAATGTATTGCTGAAGGTCAATGAAGGTCTATCATCTTGAGATGTTTTGCTGTTATCACAATCAACCAAAAAAAATTCTAGATGAATTCCCAGTGCAACCGCGTCCAGATTCCTAAAAAAAACTTCTACAAAATAAACTATTCAGAATTAGTGAAGCATATGGCTTGATTTTAAGATCAAATTAAAATAAAGTTAAAATGAATACAAAATTAATGTTAAAAATATGAATAAGAGCCCAGGTTTACCATGTGCACTTACCTCTCTAGTTGCCTATGATATCACAAAGACTCACACATCTAGAACTGTTTTTTTAAACATAACGCAGAAGCTTATTGCTATGATGGGGACCTATTCTGTGTGTTTTACATATTCATTAAATAGTATATCATATAACAATATGTAAGATGATCAATAAAATGGAAAAATAAAAAATTCAAACATTGGTACCCTTATCTCTGCATACTGGATAAAGAGCACAAGATATTCCCTTGTAGTAAGCATTGTTGGTCTGCAAATAGTTTATGAGAAGATCTCATTATTGGTAAGGACAATATGAAAAATATTTAAGTCTTGATGGAAAAGGGCTACAGTTCAAGAATGTCCAAATCCAATAACATAATGCGTTATGATATCCATCCTCAGTGTGAAGTAATAAGAAAAATATCAAAAACGATAAAGTGCTACCAAACAGGCAATGGAAGAAGTAGTGCAGACAAGCACACATGTGCGCAGAGAAATGAATATGGAGGGGAGCTGTAGAGCCCTACTTCCTTGAGGCGCCGACGTTGTCCATGGCTGGAGCAGCCGAGCAGGAGAGTAATTGACCACCAATCTGCACGCATCGGTAGGATCGGCAATGCCTCAAAAATGAGCAGACAAACAAATCAAAATGGCTCTGGCTCACAAGCCTACCCACGGAGATCTGATCTTAGCATAAATGCAGACAATGAAAACAATCAGGATTCTTAGCCCACTATGGTATCTATTGTCGTGGTGATGAAAAAGCAGTGTCGGGATTGCAGTGTGCGATCGATCGGTCATCAGGTGATACCAATGCGATCATCGACCAAAAATAACCTGCGGCATCGGTGGAGTTCGGCGGCGGCGGATGGGGACTGGAGGACGTCGGCTCGGCCGATGAGGAAGAGGGACGACCTCGGCGCCAGCCAGCGGTGGAGTGCATGGCGGCGGTGGCGGTGGCAGCGGAAGGGGCCGACCTCAACGCCGGCAGCGGCGGATGGGACCGAGGTCGGCTCCGGCCGCGGCGGTGGGGAAGAAGCAGGATCCGGCTGCGGCAGCCGGTGTGGACAGTAGCGGAGCCGGCGGCTCCGGCGAGGATGCGGCGGCGCGACGGCATTACATGCGGGGAGGAGGAGGAGCGAACGAGGAGGGGAAAAAATTTGGTGGAGGGGTGCAGCGGGCCTGCTGTGCAGCCCTCATCTGGATGAGCGACACGTGGCCCAGCTACCGATCCAACGAGAGCGCGCATACGGCCTCCAGCACAAGTCTCGGCCGGCTCCCTTTGGCTGAGAATTGATCGGCTCCCGTCCCGGCTCCCTCCGCGCTCACGCTTCCCTCGATACATCAGCTCGGCTAAAGTATATCCCTCCCTAATTTCTCGAAGTCTCGATGCGCCTGCTCATCTACCGCCGCCGCCCGCGTGTTCCCCTCTGCTTCTCTCATAGCAGCTAGCGCCGGCGGCGGCGGTGAGCGGCCGTGCCGTGCCGCGGATGTGTCGTCTGGACAGCAAGTCTGATTCTGATAGGTACGTCATCTCTCTAGAAATCAGAACCACCACCAGCGTCTGCAGACCCAGATTATTTCCTCTCACCTGAAACTACAGCTGCAATCTCTGTTTTGTTTCTGACAATAATTCAGCAGCAGAGCAATGTTCAATACTTACGTATATTTATTTTCCAATGGTATCTCCCGGGTGCTTTCCTCCCGCTGAAGAAGCACCAGACAGCAAACAACTGAACATATATATAACTCTTGCTGTAAACTAATGTACGCATACACTTCGAAATCACTTCTCTGAAAATGGAAGAACATAGTTTTGAAATTGTTTCCTAAACGTTGGACTGCAGAATACTAGATCTCCATCAGTAAGATGGACTAGTGGATTAAATTGCTCATTTTCTTGCAGGTTCTTCTCCTGGGTTGGACTGATGGATTAGGATCAGTAAGATGCATATTGTAGTAAGATGCATATTGTGGATTGAGCTCAAGCCTCACTTTTTATCATGGTGGTTATGTATTTTCTGTGCAAAATATAAAGGAGGAAAATGCTCAGCCTGAAAGGACTTTAATTGCCATAAGAGGATGGTTTTCAAAGGACTGTAGTTTAATATGCAGGCTTTGTAATATGTACTATGTAATCTGCGAAATGTTAACAGTTTGCAAGGATTGTAGTTGAGATCATACAAGCTGCAATGTAATTGCAAGGAAATTTATCCGTTTGTAATATGTACAATTTTTGTAAATCTGAAATACACATGGCATGTTGGTGTTTTGAATTATACAAGGTGATGGACGCGTCAACATATGTGATTGCTTTTTCGATTCCTTTCAAAAATAAAATCTGGAATGAGTGAATTTCCTCATGACAGGTAGATCTGAAGTTATTCTGACCGACAACTGAAATTTTGAGTAACATTCAGTCTGTTACTGAATGCCTAAACTTTCTACACCCAATTGGAAATAAAATCGAGTTCAACACAGTAAAAGAAGTAAATGAGTACAGATTAATGCACACACCCAAATCCATTCTGAAAAGGCCTACTATTCATTGGAAAATGTAACTTTCTAGCAGACGAGGAAAATGTGCAATCTTGTTGGACTTCAAATAAAAGATTTGTATATCCGCCTTGGATCAAAGGAGTAGGCATGGTCGAAGATTCACCATATACATCATTTGCAACCATGGTTGAAGATTGCCCATACATATCATTTGCATCCATGGTTGAAGATTGCCCATACACATCACCAGCATCTTCATCTCTATTTTCTGACGCATTATTTGGATCTTCAACTATAGGTCACATGGATGTAGCATATAAGAGGATGAAAACAAACAAGATTAAGAGAACAGGAAATAACATGCTACAATGGGTAGGATCAACACATTTCTTCTGCCATTTCTTCTTTTCAACTACATCTTTTGATCGTCGACTTTTTGGGCCTTTCACCACCCGAGGAACTAAAAACGATATAGTACCATTTAATGTGTCCTTGACACAACCATTTGAATTTAGAGGAACCTCACAGGATTTTTCTTGCATCTTGCTTAAAGAATTGTCTGCTTCCAAGTCCAACTTATTTATGGCTTGCTCCAAATCATCAAGAAGTTCTTTCGACACTGAACACTTCAACTCAACGGATGTCGCATGTCGAGAGATACGTGCAGCATGTGCTTTCAAAGTTTCCTTCTCACTTCCTTGTTTCTGAATGTAAAATCCACTCTTTGCATATTTTGTCCATCTATTGAGTATATAATGAGATGGTAAAGTGAAAACTTTATTCATATTGAAGACTCTGAGGGCATGCTTGCACAATAAGCCTATAACATACATGTGCAATTTTTCAAAAATTTGTACTCGAAATCATATTGTAATTTAAATTATGTATACGTACCAATGCATTCATACTTTCTGCAAGAACATGTGATGGTCATCTCTGTAGGGTTGAATACAACAGTCGCTTCGTGATCATATTCCATAGGCATAACCACAAATGTCAAGGTTGCTCCCTCAGTTTTTAACAATTTACATGATAATGTAAATTGTTGTTTAAACTCATCCTCCAACTCTGAATACATGCTCCTAGTATATGATTCAGCTGCAATCTTTAACATAGGTAAATTTGGAATGTAAGTAACCGGGTTCGAGTGTCGGGACTTAAAATCTGCATCCAATTCATTTTCACGGAGAGTAGCTGAAACCTTATCACATTCTACAAGGAGTTCCGAAAGACCGAGTTTCCTACGAAATCTTTTCTTGTAGACATTATTCATACCTTCGCTCCTTTGAGTCGAGGTTATGTCAGCTGTAAAAGAGTTACGGAAGACAATAGCCCACTTCTCCCTTAACTTATATAGGTTTGATATCCATTTGTTATCCTCAAGATTGTATTCACTCAACAATTCATGCCACATCTTGTTGAAGTAATACTCTGATCTGTCTTCATAGACACATCTCTTAAAATCAGCTAGAAACTTGTTAGGATGCTTATGAATTACATGGCTGAGATTTTTACCACCATTAAGATAAATGTGCCACAAACAAAGACGATGGCTTGTATTTCGAAATACAAAAGCAATTGCTGCTGCCATGGCTGCATCTTGATCAGTGAAAATTGTGCTTGGATGCTTGCCTGACATAGCTGTTAGAAAGGTTTCAAAGAGCCAAACAAATGATTCAATAGTTTGGTTAAATAACAATGCAGCCCCAAAAATTATTGTTTGCTTGTGATGGTTGGTTCCAAGGAGTGGAGCAAAAGGCATTTCACACTTATTGGTGTCAAATGTGGTGTCAAATGATACAAAATCACCAAAGCATGCATAATCCATGATAGATTGACCATCTGCCCAAAAGAAATTAGCTATTCGGCCATCTTCTTTGTCTACTTGAATGGCATAAAAAAATGTAGGATCCTCTAACTGCTTATTCCTCAAGTATTCCAGTAGTGTTTGTGTGTCATTGGATTCTAAGTACTTCTTGCGTTCACGACCAATCTCATTATTGCAATCCATCTTTGAGAATGGCACTTTGTCAGCTCCACCATACCACTCCTTCATAAAGCCATACACTTGGGCTGGCTTCATTCCGGCTTCCCTTATCTGGCCAATTAGTTGCCTATCCGCTTCTATAACACGTCGTTGGGACCTCAGCTTGTGCGACTTATTTGGACTGACAAGATCATGGTTGTGTTCAAGTACAACTTTTTGCACCATCCAAATTTCCTTTCGACAAACACTAAACTGAACACGAGCCTTGCAACATGTCCTGGTAGTGTCCAGTGATGAGCTAGTTTCTTGCTGTCCCTGCTTATTGCAAACCATATGCTTTTGATATATAGTTCCATTAGATCGGCGCTTTACATTACTCTTTCTAATACTGAATCCAACCTTCCCGGCATAGGTGTTGTACATCTCATATGCTTTATCCTTTGATTCGAAAGACATTCCAACTTGAGGAACAATCAAAGTTTGCACAACTTTATCATCCACTTTCTGTACAATCAGTTGATAACTAAAGTTATATACTTATATTAACACAATATAAGAAATATTATGATTGTCATGATCATGGTCATCCTTTACATATAGGTGCACATCATCCATCATCAAACAATGCTGATTGAAAAACATGATAATTAAAGAACTAGACGATATTACCTGCGTTATCCGCTCGCCGCCGGCTCCAACATCCCCGGCGATTTCGGCATCCATGGGCGCAGGTGATTGAAATCCATGTCCTTCCTTGCCATGTGCTAGGGCAGGTGAAAACGACACGAGATGAGATGTCCCGGCGGCTGCAGGGTCCTCCTCCTGCCCTTCTCCTGCCATGGAAGCTGATGCAGCTGCGTTGCCCGTGGAGACTTGTCCTGCCATGGCTGCTGCAGTGCTGCGGTTGCCGGCGATTTTGGCCGTGATCTTGGGGCGCAGGATGAGACGTCTCACTCCAAGTCCGCGTAATCCAGGGGCACGCAATAGGAGCTTTCCAATTTCCACACCCACGAGCCGATCGAGCGCGTGCGGCGGCGGCAGACGAACAGGCGCATCGAGGGAAGCGTGAGCGCGGAGGGAGCCGGGACGGGACCGATCGATTCTCAGCCGAAGGGAGCCAGCCAAGACTTGTGCTGGAGGCCGTACGCGCGCTCTCGTTGGATCGGTAGCTGGGCCATGTGTCGCTCATCCAGATGAGGGCTGCACAGCAGGCCCGCTGCACCCCTCCTCCACCGAATTTTTTTCCGCGAGGAGAAGCGGCGGAGTCTTCACGCGTGGAGGAGGAGGAGCGAAGTCTTCGCGCGTGGAATCAGACTGATTTAGCCTGTAGGATTAGAGAGGTGCAACTCCTCCTTTTTACCTTTTTATATTAGTATAGATTTATTAGCCATGTTTTCCCATAAACTCACGAAAGTCTAATCTAAGGTCAGAACCACGCATGACCTTGTGAGTATGTAAGAGAAACTAAGCTTTGGAAAGTAGGCATTCATTAACTTAATTACAAACATTTATATAGCATTTGTATGTCAAGTAAACATTTGAAGTAGTGTGCAGTACAAGAAAATCCCCTAACCTCAAAAGCTAGCCACAATGGAACAACTCGTTCCTATGCAGCATCATAGCTTATCATTTAACCATCTGACTACATGTTACAGTTTTAATATTACCTTACAAAGACAAATATTTATACATTCATCTTGACACCAACCAACACCATATCATGTATATTTCCATTTCTTACAACCTAAATCTCATATGAGATCCCTACTTTAAGCAATTGCCTATGGGGAATAAATAGCATCTTCTGCCCTTGCACGAAGTTCTTTCTTAAGAAAGAGTAGACGTAGTTCACTACTATCTTCTTAAGAAGCGATGAGTGAGGCCTTACAACCACCTCGGTTTCTCCAAGTATGTATACAACACCTTTTTCCATCTCCTTCTCAATGAACATCTGCTCTTGCTCAATCTTCGCCAACTCCTCCATATTCATCTTACTTGCCTAGTACAAATACCATTTATTAGTAACTAATGCAACCATAATATTTACACAATTTAGAAATATTAAGTTCAAGCAATAATTTATTACCTTGAAGTGTGGTAGACGGTCGCTTCCATAGTTAGATAGAGCTGTGATCTCAGAGAAGGATTCAATTGGTGTAAGCATATCCTCGGCATGTACCGCGTACCGTCCAGAAGGCTTCTCCCGAGAAAAGCTATGGTTGCAAGAACTATGGGCACTAATGGTGTGTGGCTCATCGGTGTAGAGATTAACATCCCTTATATAATCCTGAAGGTTCTCAAGAAGGGTAACAACAAAGTCCTTGGCCTCCTCGAGGGAATCACGATATCCATATCGTGCCACACATCGAAACACTTTGTAGTCCTTTAGCTCTACTTGACGGAAGAGGAATCGCTCCGAGGTGTCAACATGGGGTACTGGCAAATGCTTGATAGAGATGAAGACAAGAACAGAATGAATCGTTGGGATCTTCTCGATGAGGTGCGGGAATATGGGCGGGATGCCTTGGACTAGTTCAGTGTAGAACAGGGCTACGCCACGGACCCTCTTCAGATCATGGCTCTCCAGCATTTCTTTCACCTTGTCGGTGGATACTGTGTGTTCCAATTCATACTTGTATCTTTTCACATGCACGTAGTGCCACACGATCATCACCACCATTAGAACTACCGACATAGCCACAGGCACATATGGTCCATGTGTGAACTTGTATAGCACTGACGATAGGTAGACAGCCTCCGTTGATGTGAATGTGATAAAAAACAGAGCAACCCACAAGATGTTGATCTTCCATACCAAGAGCATAACTATTGTCATTAGTAATGTTGTGATGATCATCACAAGGATGACACAAATTTCTGTATGCATTGATCAAGGAAGATGGGCACAATTAGGTGAAACCATATAATCCGAAGCTTAATTCTTTTGTCAAATATATATAAATGAAATAAATTATTACCGTGCGCCTTTCCTATAATAACAGTTGTTTTGAAGCTAACAGTCACAACGCAAGCAGCCACACATAACAAGAAGTTTACTCCAGGGATGTACAATTGGCCCGGAAATCGCTTTGATGTGTGCAATATCTTGACCCTTGGGAAGCAACTAAGTGATTGTAAATGAGAAACAGTTGCAAAGGCACAAGATATCATTGCTTGGCTTCCTATTATGGATGCAGCTATCGCCATGATGAACGTAGGCCAGAACAAAGAAACTGCATTTAAAAATTAAATAATTATTTTGTTTATTTGTAAGAAGTGACTCGTACTGAAGCCTTGAAGGTGATATAATAAAGATGAAATGCTTACTTGGAGTAGCGGCAAAGAAGGTATTGGCAACATTCTTCGGGTTCTTACTCAGGAAAGCTGCTTGTCCGATGTACGTGAGTAATACCGATGGAAGTAAGGCAAAACTAAAGCTCAGCTGAAAAAATTAGAAAATAACTTATTTCGATGTTATGATCTTGGGTATTATCAAGTATATCAACCTCCCAAAAGAGATCATTCTAGTAGATAAATCGTACTATACTGATTATTGATTCAGTGCACACACACCTGGATTGATCTGATGCTGAAGTATCCTAGATTAGCAAAAAGTGCTTCTGATCCTATAACATGAGGATAGTACATTTTTATTGTAAGATAATCTTCCCTATAAGCGCATTAAATATCACAGAAGGTTTTGTTTCAAACAGATGTAATAGAGTACCTGTGAAGCAAAGGAGAATACTTCCAAGCGAGACCCATCCTTCCTTCTTGTTCCTACGGAAATAGTCGATGATGTATTTTGGGTTGAAGGCCCTCAAGACACTGATGTCATGCTTGATCAGGTTATAGAGACCAGTTGCTCCAATCAAGAGCAGCCACAAGAGAATGATTGGTGCAAAAGAGTAGCCAACTTTATCAGTCCCGTAGCGCTGGATTGCAAACAAGACTACCAAAATTGCCACTGTTATCCACACTATTTGATCTGTGCAAGAAAAATAAATAGCATATAATTAATCAGTAATCTTTAGTTACAAGCTATATAATAGTTGGAAAATTATATTCCTCCATGTATTTATCAGTATGATAGTCAATTCTGGTTTAATTCTCAATAGTTATGATCCTAGTTGAAAGTTCCCAGCAATTAGTCCAAAAAAAAAAAACTTAACCTAAGTGGGGATATGACCCCTCCTCTGTGTCCAGATTCGTTGTACTAGACGGGTTATATCCCCTTCTAGGTTTTGTTTTTTTTGGGACAAATGAAGTACTTATTAATTATGCTGCAGATTAATTATTCTTCTAGCCTGTACCTGTTGTAAGATGAGGTACCTTCTCTCTCAACCCACCTACGGCTGACAGTACTGCACGAAAGGTTTACAAACACAGACAAAATCAGCCCAGACGAAAAAAAACTTCAGAGAACTCGATCGTTTAATATGTCAATGCCTGACACGTTCTCATCCAGAGTACGTACCAGAAATGGGAGGCGTTAGCACAGCGTCGCTGATGACCATGGCGATCGCAAGGATGGTGAGCAGGAAGAGAGAAATCTTGGCCGCCTTGCTCGCCTCGAGCAGCTGTTTCAACCAGTGAGCTCTCCTCAGAGTCGCCGATGGCTTCCCGCTACTGCTATACCCGGAGATCAGCTCATCTTCCGCCTGATGGTTAGGGATCAGGCTCACCTTCGCGTGCCGTGAAATTAACGAGTAGAGTGCAAATGTCCCACCTGGAGAAGAAGTACCAATTTGTTGACTTGTATTTTGAGAAAAAAAAACGCTCGATCCATTTAATTTGGTACAAAACTACATACTGTGTGTGTTTAAAATTATTCGTCGTTTTCTATGAATTTATATAAGATAATATCATAAGATTTACTACTCTGTCAAAAAAAAAACCAATCTTGGTTATGAACATGTATACACGTGTCCAGATTGATTAGTAGGATTAGGTTTTTTATGGGACGGAGGGAGTATGTTTTTAGATTCATCAGAAGAAATATTTTAATAATAATATCCGAAGTAATTTACATATTATTGAACGATGTACAAATTTCTACTTATAACAAAGTTAATAAAACGATCGACGAGTAATTTGAAACGGAGTGAGAACACTAACCGTCACCATGGTCGTTGGCATGCAGGGCGACGAAGACGATCTTGATGACGGTGAAGAGCATGAAGCTGTAGACGATGAGGGAGAGCACCCCGACGACGTCATCGGGGTGCCCAATGCCGTGCTCAAAAGTGCTGGAGTAGACGTACAACGACGACGTCCCAATGTCGCCGTACAGGATCCCCACGCACTGGAACGCCAGACTCATCGTCCTCCCCCAGCTATCCTGCAGTACATGCACGCAGGCCAGAGAGAAACAACGTCAAATCTCAAATGCTTGAAGAAAAACGAGAAGAAAATCACGAGGCCAGGCTCGATTATATGCCACTAAGTTTACAACAGGTTTACAATTTGCCACTAACTTTATCACTTTTCACAATATGCCATCGATTTTTGCTTAACTTTTACGAATTACCATCGCTATTCGGTTAGCCTCCGTTAGTACTTACAATTTTGTCCAAATGACCAAAATACCCATGGGACAAAAACTTTCAAAATTTGATAAAAATTTCTGAAATATCATTTTTAAGTTTTTGGCTAAATTTTGGATATTTACAATCTTATGTTTATGATATTTCGGAATTTCTGTTCAAATTTTGGAAGTTTTTGTTCCAGGGGTATTTTGGTTATTTGGATAAAAATATACAGTACTAACTAAGGTTATCCGGACAGCGATGGTAAATCGTTGAAGTTAAGCAGAAGTCGATGATATATTGTAGAACATGATAAAGTCAGATGCAAATTGTAGACATGTAAGAAACTCAATGGCATATATATATAATGGATTTTCTCTTGAATTAATGAACTGAACTAAACCTGTTCGTCCCAGTGAGCGGCGCCGGCGTGCTCAGCTCTCACCGCCTCCCGGAACAGCGAGTCCTGACGCTCGACGGGAAGGCCGCCGCTCTCGACGTCGACGAGCTCCATCTGCTGCTTCTTCTTCTCAACTCCTGGATCCATCATATATCACAACAGTAGCTATAGCTGCTTGTACTATATATATACACAATATATATATACGTGTGTGTCTATACTCTACACACGTATTCTATGCGTGCGGTTTGTAATATAACTTGTAAGTGATAAAAACAGTGAGAATGTGAGATCTCCAGTTTGTACATAGCCCGCCTCCCAATGCCCCTCCTTTTATAGGCTATTTCACCGATCGAGTATACTGTTACTAGAAGCTTATAAGTATATAACACCTCGACCAATTACGTACTCCACATGGTCCTGAATTTTGATTCGGCTATCGATCTTTCTTCTTCTTCTTTTTTTGCAGTTTATTCTTCTTCCATGCGGCAGCGACAGCTAGCGCGTTTACTTTGGCGAGCCACTGCACAATGTCAAATTTGACTCTGCATGCGATTCAGCATCCTTGATTATTGGTCTAGTTATAACTTATTCTTAATTAGCTCACGCCACACGATCGACAAGGCTCGGATTTTTTTTTAAAAAAAAAGTTAGGGTACGGTTAGCGGCCGGCGATCTGTCCGACTCACTAGACATATTTTCTTCCTTTTTGAAAGTGAGTCGTGACTGACTAGGATTGCGCTTGTCGTCCAGTGGTGCTAATTCGTATTCTCAGGTTTCCAAACGTAAGTACTGATCAGTAGTATAAACTAAAGCTAGAATATTACTAATTCAATGTATCAGTAGTACTAGTTTGGCTAGCTTTCTTCAGATAAGATGCATGATCGATCAGCAATTCCTGTTTGCATACATATGTCAGGCACATATATGTAGTTAGCCTAGCATATACGGCTTCCTATTTGTTCTGGCTTCATCGGTTCAGCGTGGACGCAATGCACAGATTATGTCACAAGTTGCTGATGAGGAGCAAGGCATGCGTATATTCGCATATGCCACCTGACTCATATACATATTGTTATGGTTTTGATCCATAATTTGGCCGAGAAGTACACCTCGTGCTTTATTTTAATTACATAAAAGATACGCATATACATACACACCACTATGCACGTACGCACACCACACTCGTACATCCACAAGTGTGTTCTTTTAACGCGCGTTTAAAGAAACAAAAATGGAGATCAATGTAGCATCGCTAAATTTCTATTGAAAGCACACCCACGTGTATGTAACATTTATGGGCATAACGATCCAAACGGTAAGGTCATGCAACGGATGATTTTGTTAACATGGAAATTAAAGTAGAAGTGAAACCCTCTTCTTCTTCTTCTTCTTCTTCTTCTTCTTCTTAAATGAATTGGCAACGTGTCGATTTCGTTGAAAATAGTATGAGTAAAAGTTTTCCGTACAAGTATAAAGGGAAAACTATACTGGAAAGACCCTCTTTTTAGAGGCTAAAATATATAAAGTGGTACCTTTTTAATGAAAAATTCCGATTACTCCCTGAACTATTGGATGAGTACGAATTATTCTATTGGACCGGAAAAACGGACATCCTTCACCCTCAACTATTAATACCGGACGAATTACCCCCTGACTCACTCTAGAGCAAGTTGTCGTCCTACATGACACACACGTGGTAGTCCAGTCAGCATAAAAAATTTAAAAGTGATGGGGCGAACATGTCATATCCCCCCCATCCTCTACTGCCCTCTTCTTCCAAGCTCGACTGGCAAAGGCGGAAGCGGCGATGAGGCTGCTGCTGTGGGGAAGAAAACGAGAGAGATAGGGGAGAGGAGCTGGCCATGGCTCTCTTCTTCTATGGTGGTAGGTCTTGACGGTGGTGATGATGACGATGAGTGGCAGGTAAAGGTCGATGGTCGCCAAGATTCAACGGAAATTACGGAGACGACGACCTCCACCGGAGTGTGCATGTAGCGTCCGAGGCAGCCGCAGCCCGCAGCATCATTTTCATGCATCACAACCACCACCGAAGTGTGCCTGCATCGCCCGTGCTGCCGTCCTCTTCAAATGCTGGCGGAGGCCAAGGAGAAGCCGTGCAGCCGTGGAGAAGGCGTGCCATCAGAGGCCGAGGAGAAGCCGCGCGGCCGTGGAGAAGGAACGCCGGTAGAGGCCGAGTAGGAGCCACCTCGGCCGCTCAAGTTCTCCGCCCCGCAGCTCGCTGCTCATCCACCCTGCCATTGTTGTCCTTTTCACGCGCTGCCGGAGTCTAAGGAGAAGTCGCGGCCGTGGAGAAGGCGTGTGCCAGCGGACCGGAGGCCAAGGAGGATTCACCTCCGCCGCTCGCCGCCCCCCAGCCGCCTCCGTCACTCACCACTCGAGCTCCTCTGCCCTGCCGCCTGTCGCCCCTAGCCCTACCGATTGACAAATAGGGAGGGAGAACAGAGAGGAGGAAGGGGAGGGGAGGGAGAGAATATGACAGGTGGATCCCACCATTTTTTAAAATAGAAATGCTGACTGGAATACTATGTAGGATCAAAACCATTTCGGATTTAGTCAAGGTATAATTTGTCCAGTATTAATAGTTAATGTTGAAACATATCTTGTTTTCGGGTCTAAGGGATAATTCATACTCATCTTTAGATGGTAATCCGTACCTTTTCTCTTTTTAAAAGAAATCCATCCAGTATGTTCTGTGACCAAACTTATTACCGTAACGCAACATTAAGTTTATTAACAATGGTGAAAATATAGATAGCCACTCACTCTGTCATAAAATATAAGTATTTATGGCTATTAATCTGGATAAATAGTTGTCCAGAATAAACAGTTATCTAGATTAATAATTAGAAATGCTTATAGTTTAGGACCGAGGAAGTAGATCACATCGAACAAACCAGTAAAATGTGACTACTACAGTGAAGTGGCAAAAAGTACTTTTGGAACCGATCCAACTTGTCAAATTTCATATATCTTAAGCGCGGCCCGCAGGAACGCCCAAAATTATGTTGTCAGATCAGTGTTAGTAAAATTAATCAAGTTTGAGCAATCGATCAGATCGGAATCACTTAATTACCTCCAGGAAAACAATAAGCAAGAAATTAATTATCACTTGAAATCTATGACTAGCTAACCGATTTCTGATCCAATTATTAATTAAACACGTGACAATTAACTATACCGAGAAAAGTCATATAGATGATAAGATGATAGATCCCGGCAGTATATATATTAACAAATCAAAGTAGATCATCAGACGGTGATGACAGCAACCGACTACACTACTTGCTGTCAACATCTCTTTGGATTGGCGTCGTACGTACGGTCAGTACGGAGGCGGTTGCAAACGTTTAACAAACATGAGTGTGTATTGGAGCCCAATTGAAATTTTTTTAATTAAGACCTCAAATTAAGGCGTGAGTGCATGCATGCATGCACATGGATATTAATTAATTATACAAAAGAGTCAGATCGATTTGTACAGTCTGTCAGAAGTCGTACTTATACACGTCAGGATGATTTAGAGCATTTACGCTCACTAGTTGACTTAGTAAAAAAAGGTAAAAAAATAGTTATGAAAAAATTAGGACCCAGAAAGAAACTACTCAATCCGTTCCTAGAATATAGCAACCATGTCCTGATTCGTAATACTGATTCATAGTAGTAGGATACGTCCCATCCAGTTCTCGATTGCTATATTTTGAGACGGATGAAGTATAATATTTCGGTAGGGTAATAAAAATATACCCTTTCTTCATTTTGTAAAGTCCCAACAATTTTCAAGACTCAACCTCAATTAACTAACAGTTAGTAGTACACAAAGTGGTTAAAGTTTTTTTAAGTTATATAAGTAGTATATGATACTTGTCTTGTAGTATTTGTATTTCACAAAACAAAAAAAAAGTGACTGTGATGGAATATTTTACGAAAAAGGACAATTTCACCTTGATATGAATAAATGATGTCGCTATATGTTTGGTGTTTTCGTTTATTTACTACTACAATAACCCTAATAGCAAACATCCTCATAGGTGCCGGTACATAAAAAATTGTTACATATGAGGCTTTATTCCCTTTTCAAACATCTTATCGAATTAAAAAATGGCACCTATATCCTTTTATAAGTGTCGGTTTACATTAAAAGATCAACACTAATTTATTTATATATATATATATATATATATATATATACCTGCTTTTTTTAAAAAAAAGGTATTTAATTATCAAATGGTTAATGTTTCTTTAAAACCTCTGTAGTGGTTTATGGACGTGTCCGCCCACCTCTCTCGCTCACTCTCCACTCTCTCTCAGCCTCTCTACCTCCCTCTCTTGCTCACCGCTTCCATCCCTACTCTCTACCGCCCCCATTGCCCCTCATCTTCGCCACAGTGACCTTTCTTACTCTTCGCCGGATCGGCCTCTACTCGTAGGGGTGTGGCTGGATACGCTGACGCACACAAGCAGCTATGAGCACGAGGACAACTGGATCTGCCGTCGTGAGCACGGAGATGGCCGGAAATGCTACTGGGCGAGCAATCGCCCTCGCTCGCCTAGAGCGATCGATTCCCCCCCCCCCTCCTACCCCTCCCTCCCTCCACCTGGTTTCTTTTTTTGGCACCGTATTACTTTCCAATTTTAGTAAATTTATGCACCTAAATTTTATACACCTCAAGTTTACACATCTAAAGTTCAGAGACCAAAAGTTTATAAGTCAAAAGTTTATATATCCGATTCAAATTTGAATTCAAATATTTTTATATATAGTATTTCTATACATTTAAAGTTTATACACCTAAAGTTTATAGACCTAAAGTTTATATATCCGATTCAAATTTGAATTTGAATTCAAATATTTTTCATATATAGTATTTCTATACATCTAAAGTTTATACTCCTAAAGTTTATAGGACTAAAGTTTATATACCCAATTCGAATTTGAATTTGAATTATATCCGATTCAAATTTGAATTTGAATTCAAATAATTCAAATATTTTCTATATATAGTATTTCTATACATCTAAAGTTTATACACCTAAAGTTTATAGATCCAAAGTTTACAAGTCAAAAGTTTACATACCCGATTCAAATTTGAATTTGAATACAATATTTTATACATAATTTTTTCTAACTTTTTTTTAATTTTTTTGTGGTGTACTATAATAGGAAGAGAAAAATGAGAGGAAGAAGTAGGAGTGCCTATAGGAGTGGGGGGGGGGACCGATCGCTGGGCGATCGCCCATTAGGCCCTCTCTCCGGCCCGCTCAACAACGG